CTCCAACTCACGGAGATCCGCCTGCCTCTGCCTCCTGAGTACAGGGATTAAAGGTGTGCGCCACTATTGCCCAGTTGTCTGATCTTTTAACTCAGGTCCTCACGCTCACAGAAAGTGTTTCCCCCCTTAGCCATCTCTTAAGCTCCCCCACGTGGTCTTCGTATCTTGTGCGTCATAGCACCTCCCAGGAGGTTGGAACTGGACTGGCTGGCGGCTCTGGAGTCCTCAGCCACTAAAGCCGGCCTCCGCCACTAAAGCCAGCCTCCAGTTGTGTGTGGCGGGTACATCAGCTCCAACTTAGAAGCTGAGCTGTGGTCCTGGCTGGGGAAAGAACTTAGAAGGATAGGCAGGTGTCGCTATGTCTGCCCTTGTCCCTCCCTCAGGACACAGGCCTGTACTACCACCGATACCTCCAGGAGGTTATTAATGTGCTGGAGACAGACGGGCACTTCCGGGAGAAGCTGCAAGCTGCCAACGCCGAGGACATCAAGGTGCTCTAGGCATGGGCTATGGGGGAGGATGTGCTCAAGGGAATTCTCGGGGCCACAGCTGGGAAGGAATCTGGGGACCCCAAAGATGTGTTAAAGCATAGAGATGAATCACGAGCTATGGAACCTCAGTTTACCATGGAGATAGCCCTGGTGCCCTTGAGTCCTTTTCTGCCTCATCTAATTGACTTCTGTCTTAGCTAGTTTCGCGTGGCTGTATCGAAGTACTTGACAAAAGCAAGGTCGGGAAGTACTGCCCTTTCCACAGTTTAGATGCCATCCCTCACAGACTCACAGACAGGCATGGGTCAGTTCTGTATTGTACCCACAGTCAAAGCAAACCCTCCTGCTTTTTATTCAGCTCTGGAGCTCAGCTTGTGGGATAGTGCCATGGCCACTTAGGGCGTGGCCTCCCACCTTAGTTACCCTGTCTAGAAACTCCAGATAAGTCTAGATCTTGTCAAGTTGGCAGTCTTGAGCATCCCAGACAACAGATCTGGGTTGCAAAAGACGCCTTCTTGGTCTTCAGGTGTTTACTGGCGGTTCCCTTGGGGATGATGGGCAGGTAGTGCTGCAGGCTTGTACCTAGCAGAGATCCTGGCAAGCCCTGCGCTGTGAGCAGGAGAGGCCAGGGTCAGCTCTGGTGGAGGAATACAGAGTCCAGGTGATATCAGACATGTCAGGCCCAGAGAGAGCAATGGGCTTGGTGCTCTGTGAGGGCGGAGGTGATGCCTGGAGATGCTCTTTAAGGATGTACCACCTCTGAATATTGGAAGGCAGAACTGATGGTCCTCTGGTTGAGGACTGACATACTCGTGGGCACTCCCAGGCAGTACTGTTGGGTCTGAGGTGAGCAGGGCCTCTCTGCCGAGCTCAGGCTGCATCCTGGTCATGTGGGCTTCCAGGTACCAGGGCAGCCTGCGATAAAGGAAGACAAGAGCATAATCGAGCTTTGGGGATTTGAGTGTCTAGCTATAGAGGGGGGCTACCCAGCAAACTCCCTATCGGCACCAGCCTGACTGGGGCACGCCCTTCCCTCTCCTGGAAGAGTGGAAAGCTGAGCCGAGAGCTCGACTTTGTCAGCCACCACGTGCGCACCAAGCTGGACGAGCTCAAGCGGCAGGAGGTGTCTAGGCTGAGGATGCTGCTCAAGGCCAAGATGGATGCACAGCAGGAGCCCAGTGAGTGTGGGTGGATGGCTGTGTCCTGGGTGGGGAGCTTGTCCTGGAATTCACTCTGTAGACCAGGCTGGCCTTGAACTCACAGAGATCTCCCTGTCTCTGCCTGGTGCCCCCACCACCAAGTGCGAGTTTGCCTTGCTGAGACAAGGTCTCATGCAGCCAGGCTAGCCTCAGCTTACTATGTAGCCAAGGATGGCCTTGGACTCTTGATCTTCTTCATCTACCTCTTGAGTACTAGTGTAGGCCACTACATATTGCTGCTTTTTCTTTTAAATATCTTTATTGAGCTGTATAAGGGCCTGTGAGATGGGTAAAGGCGCATGCCCCCAAGCCTGATGACTGAGTTTGAACCCTGGAATCACATGCTGGGAAGGAGAGAACCACTCCACATAGTTGACCTCTGACCTTCACATGAATTCTGTGATATGCACCTGTACACACATGTGCTAAAGGCAATGTCCACCAGCTGTGGGGTGGATAAGTAAGACATGATCCACACCATGGAACTTAGCCCTAAGAAAGGTAAGAGAAGCTGGCAGGCAGAACAGCAGAAATGGGGTGCTGTACGAAGCCAGACATAGAAGGCACACGAAATGTTCCCAAGAGCAAATCCACAGAGATGGGATGGGGATGCGTGGCTGCTGGTGGTGGAGAGGGAAAAGACGGTGCTGGCTGAGGGACTGGGCATGACAGCAGTGTCCTAAAGTACTGGTGGTGGCGCTCATATGCGCCTTTGAACACACTAAAGCCATCAAACTGTATGCTTTAAACAGGTGGTTAGGGGCTCGGCAAATGACTCAGCCCGTAAGGCACTTGCCGCCGAGGCTTGGTAGCAGCTTGCTGAGGACTGGCGAGCTGGATGAGACGTGCCCACTCTCACAGCAGCAAACTAACAGGAGCCGGTCACGAAGCGTGGCACCAGGCTGCAGTGGCCAGCCTGGACTGGCGTGACTGTCCTCGTGGTTTTTGTTATTTGAAGCATCAGAGTCAGTGGAGGGCTCACTCCAACACGTCCCAGCCACTGTCTCAGGCCCATGCGCCATCCTCCTTGGCCCTCTGTGACTTTGCCCTTTGCATTCCTGCCCCGACTCAGGGGTTCTGACAGAGAAGCCATGGTGGGTGTTCTTTTGCCTGATCTTCCCTTACCCAGACTTGCAGGTGGACCACCTGAACCTCCTCAAGCAGTTTGAACACCTGGACCCTCAGAACCAGCACACATTTGAGGCTCGGGACCTGGAGCTGCTGATCCAGACGGTACGGGATGCTCGGTGGGGAGGAGGGGGACTGGGTCGAGCTGTGGGTCTGGGTCGGCGCTCCACACGGTACAGGATGCTCAGTGGGGCAGTGGGGAGGAGGGGGGAACTGGGTCGAGCTGTGGGTCTGGGTCGGCGCTCCACGCCCTCCTGGTTCTCCACGTGAAAGCAGGGGACTAGGCTCCTGATGGAATCTGTTCTCAGCATTTTAAGGTGCTCAGCAGCGTCCCGGGCTTATCCACTAGATGCCCTAAGACTTCCTCCTGGTGTAGCTGGCACCGACAGCTGTCCCTTGGTGCAGAGCCACCTGGTGTGCATCTGCCCTCACAGCATCTGTCTGTGTCAGTTTCTGCTTGCCGCAACAGTGACCTATTACAAACGTAGTAGCTTGAGAAAGCATGGATGCCTAGTCTTATAAAATGTGTTTTAGCCAGGAGATGGTGGCGCACGCCTAATCCCAGCACTTGGAGACAGAGGAAGGCAGTTCTCTGTGGGTTCAGGGGCAGCCTGATCTACAGAGCTAGTCCTAGGACACTCAAACCCTGTCTCAAAAAAAAAAAAAAAAGATTTGTTTTGAGCCAGTGTCTTTATATGTAGCCCCAGGCTGGCTTAGAATTTGCCATCCTCTTGCCTCAGTCTCCCAAGTGCTGAGACTGCAGGCTGGCTCATTTCCCTAGTAAGCCCACCACACATGCCGTCCCCTGTTCATCACTGAAGTGCTGAGCTGGTGGAGGACGTGGAAGGTTCACATCTAAGCTGCTACTACATGAACATCATCACTTTGGGAAAGCAGCCTAGGGGTTGCTGTGGGTTGGACCAACCATGAGGACCAAGAAAGTGAAGTGATGCCAGGTTTCTGAGAGGCAGGGAGAGCATGACCCTCTTGTCTCTCCACAGGCCACCCGAGACCTCGCCCAGTATGACGCTGCCCATCATGAAGAATTCAAACGCTATGAGATGCTCAAGGAACATGAGAGAAGACGTTACCTGGAGTCTCTGGGAGAGGAGCAGCGGAAGGAGGCCGAGAGGAAGCTACAAGAGCAACAGCGCAGACACCGGGAACACCCCAAAGTCAATGTCCCAGTAAGAACCTCACATATGCTTTACCATATCCAATTCCTTTGCAGAAAAAAAGGCAGATGCAGGACTACAACTCCCAAGAGGCTTTGAGGCAAAAAGTTCATCTACCTATATGAAACTGCTCCAAGGGTTGCCAGGAATTGTAGTTCTAGCCGGGCCCATAGCACTATCTGACCCGATATAATGGCTCTCAAACTCATTGGTCACAAGCTCCTGCTGTTCTTCTCCACAGGGCAGCCAAGCCCAGTTGAAGGAGGTATGGGAGGAGCTAGATGGATTGGACCCCAACAGATTCAACCCCAAGACCTTCTTCATACTGCATGGTAAGGTGGGGAGAGTGTTCCAGAGCCAGGCTGACATGAGAGGTCCTGACGGTCCTCTAAATGCCATGGGAAGTCTAATCTTCCGTGGGGCTCTGTGAGCCTTACCAGGCCTCCTTCATATCCTGACTGGCCAAAGACCTTGCCCCTCCCTGTTGTTAAGCCTGGGATCTAAGATGGAAGAGGGCCAAGTCTTTCTCCTCATTGTTCTTTCTTTTCCTCTATATTCTCCCCACCCCACCCCCTGCCTTTAGTTTTTTAAGACAGGGGTTCTCTGTAGCTTTTGTTTTGTTTTTTTTTGTTTTTTAATTTATTCATTATGTGTACAACATTCTGCTTCCATGTATGCCCACACACCAGAAGAGGGCGCCAGATCTCATTACAGATGGTTGTGAACCATCATGTGGTTGCTGGGAATTGAACTCAGGACCTCTGGAAGAGCAGCCAGTGCTCTTAACCTCTGAGCCATCTCTCCAGCCCCTCTCTGTAGCTTTTGGAGCCTGTCCTGGAACTAGCTCTTGTAGACCAGGCTGGCCTCGAACTATACCCAAATTACAATTTTTTAAAAAAAATGTAGGGAGCCAGTGGTGGTGGCGCACGCCTCTAATCCCAGCACTTGGGAGGCAGAGGCAGGCGGGTCTCTGTGAGTTCAAGACCAGCCTGGTCTACAAGAGCTAGTTCCAGGACAGGCTCCAAAACCACAGAGAAACCCTGTCTTGAGAAACAAAAAACAAACAAACAACAACAACAACAAAAACCAACAAAAAAAAATGTAGGGAATAGGGGAATGGTTCAGTTAGAAAATCCTTTGCCTTGCAAATATATGGGACTGAGTTCAGAATCCCAGAACCCACATAAGCCAGGTGAGGTGGTGTCGGCCTATAACCAGTGCTGGTGAAGGGGAGGCAGAGATAGGCAGGTCCCTCCGAGCAGCCTGCCCACTTGCAGGTCCAGGCAATGAGAGGCCCTCTCTGAAAGAAAATGAGGACACACACGCAGTTTCTTCTGCTTCCAGAGCTATGCTGTGCATGCTTGCGTCCACGTCCCCACAAGAGCACACAAAGCACCACATCCAGCAGACATGCCAGCCCCTGGGCATCTGATACCGCGGGCCCTGAAGGTGCCTGCGCTCATGTGCGCATACCCACATGCAGACACATACACATAATTGATTTTTTTATGATAAATTTATTTTTATTTTTTAAAAATATTTATTTATTTATTTATTATGTATACAATATTCTGTCTGTATGCCTGAAGGCCAGAAGAGGGCGCCAGACCTCTTTACAGATGGTTGTGAGCCACCATGTGGTTGCTGGGAATTGAACTCAGGACCTTTGGAAGAACAGGCAATGCTCTTAACCACTGAGCCATCTCTCCAGCCCCTTAAATGATAAATTTATTAAGGAAGACAAAGTTATGCTTCCGGGAATGGGATGAGCCAGAGAGCAGGGAGATGACAAAGGCTCAGATGCCCACAGCAATAGTTTCTAAGTGAATTTCTTATTTTTTAGAGAGTTATTTATTTATTTATTATGTATACAGTATTGTCAGCATTCTGTTTGCATGTGTGCCTGCAGGCCAGAAGAGGGCACCAGATCTCCTTACAGATGGTTGTGAGCCACCATATGGTTGCTGGGAATTGAACTCAGGACCTTTGGAAGAGCAGGCAGTGTTTTTAACCACTGAGCCATTTCTCCAGCCCCCCTAAGTGAATTTCTGTAGCAAGTGGTGGATTTGGCTCGGTTTTTTGTCAGAAATGGAGCATCACGATGTGGAGCAAGCACTTCAGCACTGACCTTTGACTCCAGCCCAGGGTGGAGTGCTCTGCTTGGCAGCTATTCCAAGATAAACTTTAATCTTGCAAATCTGGAACTTTGAGCCCAGTACAAGGAAGCATACTTTTTGATCCCTGAGCTCCCAGCAGATCTGGGAGAGGATCAAGAGTTCATGGTCACCCTCACCCACTGGGCAGTTTGGAAATCAGTCTGGGGTGTAGGAGACCTAATCTAAAAAAAAAAAAAAAACCTGGTAGTGGTGGCGCACACCTTTAATTCCAGCACTGAGGAGGCTGAGGCAGGTGGGATCTCTGAGTTCAAGGCCAGTCTGGTCTACAGAGTGAGTTCCAGTCCAGGACAGTCAGACTTACGCACAGAAACCCTACCTTGTAAAAGTAAAGAAAACAAGCAATAAAAGCCTTTAAGTGGTGGCGCAGGCTTTATAATCCCAGCATTCTGGAAGTAGTGGCAGTAAATTTCTGAGTCTGAGGCCAGCTTGGTCTACAGAGCTAGTTCCAGGATAGCCAGGGCTACACAGAGAAACCCTGTCTCAGAAAAATAAAAACATTAGACCTCGTGCCCACCAAACAGCTCCTAGTTCACTCTTCCTCAAAACCTCTGGATTCCATATCAGTATCTGCCACTGTGCGTCCTGTCTGTGATTCTGGCTCCAGACCCCCGAGTAAACACTGTCTGTGCTGGGGAACTGGTTTTCACTGAAGCTCTGGTCACAGGACCAGTGGCTACCGAGATAGAAGACAGTTCCAGAGAGGACGTACAGAAAAGTGGGGGGAAAAGTGAGGGTACGGGGTGGCAATCCTGCCGTGCGCAGGGTGCTTGGCTAGCCTGCACAAAGCCCTAGGTTCTATCTTCAGTGTTGTTAAAAGAACAAGAACAAGGGATTCCAAATGCTGGGTGTATCCTTGCTGCACATGAGTGAAACTCGCACGCACGGACAATGGGCTTCCTGGCTGTCATCCACGTTGCACAGGAAGGACTAGAGCAGAGGTGGTGGGTGTGGGTGGTACTGCTGGCCCTGCTTATGAGTGGGCACCCTGAAGGGTAAAAAGAATCTGTCTGGACTGTTCCAGACGATCAGCAAAGCGCCAAACCCTGGAGCCCTGTGCATGGCAAGTACTGGGGACTGGTTCATAAAAGGAGACAGAAGTGGGTCTAAGCAAGGCATCATCTTGAGGGACAAACTGACAAACAAGGGCAGTAGTAGTCCATGATACATGGACCTCCCTGGCCACTGGGGTTGGCATGGACCTGGTTCTCAGAGAGGCAGAGGTCACGGGGCCCCTGGACTCTTCTTCTTTTTTTTTAATTTTTTATTGAGAAAAAAAAAAAGTTTCCGACTCCTCCCAGCCTCCCATTTCTCTCTCCCTCCCCCCACCCTTCCCCCCCTCCCCCCACTCATCTCCCCCTCCC